CGGGCCTGCCTACCTCCAGAGATTGGGGGGGGAGGGGCGGGGAGAGCGAGCCTAGTGAGCAGAGGGCACCAAGCCCTAGTATTTTTCAACATTAAACATGTTCTTATTACCTGTTTATTGATCTCAGTGATATTTATCCAAATTTTATTTAAGCCCATGTCGCCAGTCTCTATTTTCTCAAGATGCTTTTGCTTATCAAGCAGATCTTCATTTAATTTGGGAATCTCTTGGAATGATGATTTTTGATTAGATTCCACTAAAAAAAAAAGGGACAAATAATTGAATAATCTAGCAAAACAGACTAACATATGAACATTACACAAGACAAAAACATAAGTTGCAATCAGTGACAACTACAGTAACTGGGAAACATTCCAAATAACTTTCTCTGCTGTGTTATTCTCATATATTCAGAATCAACTCAGAAAAAGTTTCTCTCCACTCAAGATCATCTGAAGAAGGGTTTTTTTCCCCACAAAAGTTCATGGTACTATTTGTTAGTGTCCCAAGCGCCAGAGGACTACCTGTTTCAGAAATAGAATGCTGATTTAAATTGATAGGTCTTAGACCAACTGTATGCAACACCTAAGGCTTGGAAAATACAACATTACAGAGTCTACGAGGTTTGGCACGTCACAATTACTTTCTTTCTAAAGCTATTTTAGAAATAGTCAACTTATCTAAAGAGCTTATTATGGAGAATCTTCAGATAGTATTCTGATAATCTTCAGAATCTCTTCAGTTAGTGCAATTATTTTGCACTATTTTATTATTACATCATAGTTGGAAGCATAGACAAAAACTGATGCAATAAAGAAAAAAATGCAAAATGACTAAATGATGAGAATGGCCAGGAATGGTACCTTCACAGTAGAAGCATATGAAACATACACAGTGACTGCAGGCTATAAAGAATATTCCAAAGAGATTAGGATAATTTCATATCACTTGAAGGAACTGAGAATCATAGAACATTAGAACTGTAAGGGACCTCAAGAGATGAAGTCCAGTCCCCTGCCCTCAAGGCAGGACCAAGCACCACCTACATCATCCCTGACAGGTGTCTGACTAAACTGCTCTTAAGTATCTCCAGTGATGGAGATTCCACAACCTCCCTGGGCAATTTATTCCAGTGTTTAACCAATTTAAGAGTAGGGATGTAAAAGTGTAACCATGTAAACAGCTACCTGATAAGCCTTATCGGTTACTGTTCATGGTTTCACACAGGCTCCTGGTATGCCCATGCACACTGGCTCCCGTGGCGCGGCCTGCCACCCCATGCTGCTGCCTCTGTATCAGAGGTAGCAGTGTGGAATAGCAGGCGGGAGTTAGTATGTGAGGAGAACTGGCTTAAAAACTGGTTCCCCGCATGCACCGGCTCACGGGGAGCCAAGTGCTGCCCCCTTCCCGCATGTAACTACAAGCAGGCCCCGGGTTACGTCAGTCCGACTTAAGTCGGACCCCTAGTTACAAACTGGGGGGGGGGGCAGCGCAGCTAGTGCGGGGTGCCTCCCCCACTGTCGCCGCCTCCGGCGGCGCAGGGGGCGCTTCCCCCCAGCAGACCAGGGAGATGCGGAGCTAGCGCCCCCCCCCCCGCAGACACGGGGGAG